AAGAACATAAGAATAATTAAATTCTAAAGTTTTCGTGTAGAGAAATAGTGGAACCAGGGTTGTTGTAGGCTATGCCTTTGAATTAGAATGTTTTAGATACACCTGTCATGCCTAGAGTTACTTAAATCTGATGCAGTTGTCATCATGGAAGAAGTACTCATGTAAAATTCCTATTTCCAACTTCTTCCCTTTTAAAAAAGATAGCTTCAAATATTGTTTTAGGAAGAATATCACCATAAATTAGCATTGAAGCTGTTTTATGCTTGTTTAATTTTAGCAGCAAAAAGGATTTCTGAAGGTTTTTAATAGCTTTTAAATGTTAATCTAAATGGTAGCTCCAGCCATAAATTCTTGACTTATGAAAATATTGCCCCTGTCTTTCAGGTGAGACATAAAAAGCTGAGCCTTATTTTTGTCTGTAAAATAACTCCTAATTCCTTTTTATAAATGTGGGGATAAAGTTCTGGTCAAAATCCAATTCTGGTTTATGCTCACTAATGGTAACTTGCCCCTGTGGTTTAAATCTGGGTTAGTTGTATTTTGCTGCTTTAAATTGGTGTGTGGTGCTTCTGTACCCTCTTGACTACTTTTCATATCCAGTCCTGTGGTAAGTCCTTTTTATCTGTGTCTCTTCAACTTAAGCTTGTGTGGAATAAAATCATTGTAACTACCGTGTAGGAAGGCGTGACCTAAGTGGGTTTTAATAGTTTGAGAGTCTTGTGACAATCAGAATTTTACTGGTGATTTTAAAAACTGCTTCTCTGTATAACACTTCATCATAGTAGAAAAAAATGTTGAATGTTTTAACCTGTTCCTCTTGTAAATACCATGTCTTCCCGATATTAAAAAAATATGATATCATTAGGGCCAAATTTTAAATATTTTTGTATCTTTCATGTTTGCTTATTGTATCATTCATTGAGCTAAACACTCTTTGTGAGAAAAAAGACTTATTTTATTTGTTAATTTTAATGTCACGTGTGATTGCATTTCTATAGCTTTAAACAAAGATCAACGTTGAAGCTGGAATTGAAAATCTTAGCTAACACTCCCAAAGCTGTAGCGAATCTCAGGTAGAATAAGTGATTGTCCGTAGGGTGCTTCCTAAGAGTGCCTTGGAAAGGAGAAAAACAATTAGGTGGCAGAGGATTCTCTTGGGAAAGATAGACGCTTAATAATTATAATTTATATTAGGTTTAGCTATGCATGATTTTGAATAGAATGGCATGTTTTCAGAAGATACACAGAACTCCTTTTATTTTGTAAACCTATTTCCTAGTTGCGCTCTTTATCTTGTTTAATTTTTTTCTAACTGCTTTTCTCACGTCACAAGCACATAAACACACACCACACCCCCATTTCAGATGAAATAAAAATATTAGGATAGCATGAATCTGATCCAGAAACCCGGAAGCAGTTGTTTGAATTTTTTCTGCTACCTCTTTGAAGAAAAATTGCACTTGATTTAGAATAAGAATTTAAACTATGGTCAAGTGAATGTACTGAAGTCACCAAGAGTTGCTGTCAACCAAAACTGGTTAAAAGCACTCAGGGATTACTTCATAGTACTTGCTTTGCCAAGAATAACCAACCCAGTTCATCGCCGTCGAGTCCATTCTGACTCGTAGCAGGCCTGCGGGACAGGGAACTGCTGCCTTTTCTTCGCTGAGAAGCTGCGGGTAGGCTGGGACTGCTGCTCTGGGGTTAGCAGCCCAGCGAGGAACCCACTATACCACCCTTACCAAGACTAACAGTATCCCTGAAATAAGAGCAGATTTCCCCAGTGGTCCTCTGCCCTGTATGTTCTTTTCTTCTTATATGCCAAAGGTAAATAAGCTTCAGCATCAATCTTACATCAGAGTGCCATGTTACTCTAGGTATTTTTTATATGGTTAATGTATATTCCACACGTTTGTAGATCTTAGGAAATGCACTGTAAAGGTGCATATGGTCTCTGCCCTTGGGAGCTTCTACTGCATTTGACGAATCACGGGCTTTGAGAGTGAGTGGTATGAGTAAAAAGCATTTTGGATTCAGGTTTAAGGTTATATGGGGCCTGGCTGACTATAAACGCAATTGAAATTCAAAGAAGCAAAAAAAAAAAAAAATAACAATGGTATTTAGTCCGTGATAATCATTTACAAAAGCATGTAGACTGGAACTAGGAAGGGAATTTGGCAAGTACTACAGCAGTCGTCCTGTGTCTTTAAAGAGCTTCCACATACTTCATATGAGGTAGATAATACTGCCCTCCTTTTACGGCAGAGGCTTAAGAACTTCAATAACTTATCTAAAGCCACATTGCTAACAAGTGGAAGAGCAGAGACTGAAAATGCTGGTCTGCCTTGCCTCCAAGACTGGAGATTTTAACTATTATTACCTCTCCACCACAATCGACAGGTGAGCAACCCAAAGCTCAGAGAGATTGAGTCACTTACATAAGTTCATATAATTAGAAGTGACAGAACTGAGGCTTGAACCCATATCTTCAAGAGGTTATACTGGTTCAGTGAGATGGCTTAGTGGTTGATTATTTTTGTTCTATAAAAGCATTAGTTTTGTATTATTCAGTTTTGCACTTGCACTTTAAGTGTTTCTGTGTTTGCATATTGAAACCAAATGATTTATGAATTTATTATATGTTGTCTTACTCTATATAACATACTCTTTTTTTTTTTTTTTTAGTATCCTATTTGGTACTTAGTAGCATTTTAGAAAAATGATGCTTTTAAAATAGAAATTCTTGTAAAATCCATTTTAGCTAATATCCATCCTACAAGAGCTTTTCATACATGAATTTTGCACAGGCAAGAGATATGTAATGAAACCTGATAAAAAGCACACTCATGAGCCCACCACCCAACTTACGGAAGGAATCATTGCTTATTGCTGTGTGTTCCCCCTTCCGGCCTCCCTAACATCCATCCTTTTGCCAGTCCACTGCCTTGTTCCCAGATTGTTCACAAATACTTTTCAGCTCATCAAGAAATTTTCTTACATGGAATTTAACTTTGCCAAATGCATTTTTAATAAATAGATGCTTAATTTTGTCAATTTTTAAATGCATCTCTTGAAGTTTTTCTTATTTCCCTTCAGCTCTTTGGGTGAATTGCATTGATAAGATACTGCTTTTTACAGCTCCAAATTACTAATGTGCTTTTTAGAATTCTTGCATCTGTTTTCACAAGTGAAGTTGGCTGTTAGTTTACCTTTCTTAGGCAGTCTTTGTCCATTCAGATTTTCTTTTTTCCATACAAGTTGCAAAGTGTTTTTGGTTTTTTCCCCTTCTTTTGTAAAATAAGATGGAGAATGTCATTTTCTTGAAAGCTTGATAGAGCACCAATTACACCAAAGGTGTTATCCCGCCAACAGCAATAGCCATTGTCAGCACACTCTAGCTTCTCTTCCAGTGACATAAATCTTCTGTCTACTAGTATGCGTTTGTGGATGAGCTTTCCTTTCACTCCAGCTACTTGTGTTATTTTTTTTTCCTCTCTAGAATTGGAGTACGGTGGTTGTTGTGTTTTCTCTCATTTTTCCTATGTGGTATTGTTCATCAGTAATGGAAAGTTTTTTTAATGTATTCACTGTAGATCAGACCACCAAATTTATTTGTCTGCTTTTATAGCATAGATTCCACCCCACCTCACCCCGGTTCACTCTTTCCCTCTATGAGTGAAGTTTTTCCTGTGGCTTAGATCTGAGCTGGTGGTATTTTCTAGTCTTACTCCCTAGTCTACAAAGGTTCAAGCCTCGATCTCATGTTCATCTGCATGCAGCAAGCATTCAAAATAAAAGCTCAACCCCTAAATGTTGAAGCTTAAACACTTAATAGATTCCTGATCCTCTGTGTTTCTGATCTGAGTATTTCCTAGTTTCTTGTACACTCATCAGTTTCTAAGAGACATTGTGTGCGAGTTATTATATATATTATATATAAAATATATAAATTATATATATTATATATTTATCTTTGTGTGTGTACACGAGGGTGCTTCAGAAAGTCCATGGAAAATTTCCATTGTCTTTCAAATCCATTTTTCCTCCAAACTTTTGAAAGCCCGTTTGCTTTCACAAGAGTGTTTCTGGACCTCTTTTGCTAGAAATGAAAGTCTATCCTTTGCTTCCCGCAACCTCATTTCCCCGCAAGTTTTTATTTTATTGTTGAGAACGTATGCAGCATAACAGTTTCTGCATCTACGATTTAGTGATAATGACATTCGTCGAGTTGTACAACCATTCACCCCCTCCTTTTTGGATTTGTTTCTCTCTTACTAACATAAGCTCACCAACCTTTAAGGTTCCTATCTAGCCTTTCAAAGATTAGTTGTCAGTTTGATCCCATCTAGAGAGTTCTTACAAGAGCATAAGGCTCCCAAAAGACTTTCTCACTAGTTAACTCTTGTTTGGTTTTAAGGCTACAGTACTTCAGGGGATATCTTTGGCTTGAAGTTTAAAGATAATCTCAGAGCAGTAATTTCAGTGGTTCATCCAATATCCATGGCTCCAAAAAGTCTAGAGTATCAAAATGTAAAAGTCTGTGTTCTATGTCTTCTCCCCCCTTTTGATCAAGATTCTTCTATGGAATCCTTAATTAAAATGTTCAGTAATGTACTGACCTGCACCGCCCAGGTCTTTAGTTTCATGGCAAAAGAGATATTTGTTCATGGAAATAGCCACACATTCGATATTCTCTTCTTATTCCAGAGTCACTTCTCCTGTGTTATTCTGAGCCAATAGAAACCAGTTGTGCCTTAGATGAGCCTTTGATATCTTTTAAGACCCCATGCATTACACAATGACCTAGGAAGTAAAACAGAGCACTTACAGGTCAGTTAGCTGGGATTTCTCATGAAATAGGGACCCTAAATTTTCAAGACATCAAATCTTTTGAAGTATTTGGTTGTACATTGTCCTTTGCCTTTTAATAGAAATTTTCTCTTTAAGATTTTAAAAATGGGTAATCATATCTTTTCCCCCTGTCACCTATACTCTTCCAGGTGAGCAGTAGGTCATCCAGTCCTAGTGTCAGAATGATCACTACCTCAGGACCAACCTCAGAAAAGCCAACTCGAAGTCATCCATGGACCCCTGATGATTCCACAGGTGATCCATTTATATCTTTCTTATAATGATAAAATAGCTGAATTCAACAGAGTTGCATTCATTTCCTCATTTCACTGCTATAATCTTAATAAAGGAAGTACTATATAATAATTTAAATTTTCATAGTAATATCACATATTCAACAATAAATTTTAAAATGCCATTTTGAATATTGAGACAGAGACTGACTTGCTTTTTTGCACTATTTCCCATATACTAAGATGCTAAGCATGCATTTTCAAGATCATAGTTGTAGGATTTGTGTTTGTTTTCCAGTTAAGAACCATTGTATTCGATGTGAGATTGTCCCACTATGATCCTCCTATTGGAAGATAGTAGTAAACAAATATTACTGCTGTGATGCTAAAATCACCAGAATAGTAAAAATGTGTATCACCGCCATCACAAAGACTCCAGTGAATCAAGTGCTTTAGTGACCGTGGAGTCCCCTGAATCATTTTTGAGAGATGACAGTCATCTCAGTAATAGAAATATTCTAACAAATAGACCATAAAAACCTGTTGTCATCGTTATGTGCCCTCGAGTCAGTTTTTGCTCAGCAAACACATTGTACTTCTTAAGAAACTACCCACCGCCCGGCGCACCCTGTGCTAGCCTCGCTAGTTCTTGTATTTGAGCCCGTTTGTCAGGCCATCTCATTGAGAGTTCTCTTTTTAATGAAACCTCTACTAAGACTTCACGGGCTAGACCTTTCTGAGAACATGTGCAACCATGTCCAATAAAGTCTTGCCATCCTAACTTCTAAGGAGTATTCTGGCTGTGCTTCTTCCAAAACATATCTCTGCATTCTTCTGACCGCTGCTGGTCTAGTCAGCATATTCTTCCCCACCACCAAAATTCAAATGCAGCAATCTTTTTTTTTTCCTTTTCATTTTATGTTCTTCATTTATTGTCCAGCTTTTCCAGGCATGTGAGGCAAATGAAACACTGTGACTTGGGTCAGGAACACCTCTGTCTTCAAAGTGACATCTTTGCTCTTTAACAGTTTAAAAAGATCTATTGTATCAGATTTGCCCAATAGAACACCTCATTTAATATCTTAACTGCTGCTTCCATGGGCATTGATTATGGATCCAAACAAAATTAATACTTGACAACTTCAGACTTATCTCCATTTAGCATCATTTCTTCCTGGTCTACTTGTGAAGGTTGGTAAGTTTTGATTCATACCGAGAGATCAAAGCCCTCCTCACTTTGCGCAAGCAAGGTTGTGTCATCTGCACATCAAAGGCTGGTAAGCCTTCCTCTAATCTGGATGCCATGTTCTTCTCGGTCAGCCTCTGAGGTCATTTGCTCAGCACAGAGATTGAGTAGTTATGGTGGAGGACGTGACTCTGCCACATCTATCCTGATTTTAAACTGCAGTGTCCCCTTGTTCTGTTCGAATGCTGCCTTTCGTCTGTGGACAAGGTCAACAGGAACCCAATCAAGTGCTCTGGAATTTCTGCGCTTTACGTTGTAATCCATAATTTGTTATGATCCCACAATAGAATGCCTTAACACAGTCTATAAAAACACATAAGCAAAACCAAACCAAACACATAAACATCTTTCTGGTTTTCTCTGCTTTCATTAAAGATCCATCTGACATCAGATGGTGTACCTTGTGCCACATCCTCTTCTGCATCTGACTTGAATTGTTGGCAGTTTCCTGCCAATACACTGCTGTGACCATTTTTAATGACTCTTAGCAAAGCTGTACTTGTATGTGGCACTGGGCTATTTAGTGTGTGATATTAAGCCTACTCTAATTATTAAAACTCCCCAGCATGAATAATAACTTGCCACAATATTGGTATTAAGATTGAATATATTAACGGGATAGATTCATTTTAGACCAAAAGAAAATGATCTGCCATGTAGCAAACAAATGTTCTGTAACATTTAAAAGAATGCCTTAATAGTAGTATACTTGTATAGAAACTGTTTTTGGTTGTTGTTAAGTCAAATGTGAGAAAGATGATCTCTTAAACCTTGGAAAATTAAACCATTTGGAACTTTACTTAAGATCAGCTATGTTATTAATAGTGGGAATTAAGTTGAAATTCAGAAGTCAGCTTTTTTTTTTTTAACCAAACTAAAGTATCACTTATGTATATTTATAAATATTTGGCATGGTTTAGTCAAGTTTATAATTTAATTTAAAATATTAACTGACTAGCTTTTCTCTGTATCATGTAAGATGGAACTGTATTTAGCCAGGGTTGCACTATCTATTTTTAATAAGTTTAAATTTAGTAGTGACAGAAATTCCTAAGTTTCACCCCTAGAACAGCCCGGCCCATGAGGGCCGGCCAGGGCATTCACCACTGAGCACATACGCAGCACTCATCACAGGAGTCGACACTCCGAGTGATAGAGAGGAGAGCATTTTTGCCACTAACACGCGGCTCTATTGCCCACGCCCTACAGTCAGAAGCACGCTAGCAACAGCAGCATCTCCCCCGACGTGGCAACACACTGATGACACGCTCGGTGACAACTGAGCACCAAACGCAGTCTGTGGAGTCAGTTCCAGCTCATAGGGACCTCACGGGACAGGCCAGAACCGCCCTTGTGGGTCTGTGAGTTCCTGCCTCTTCACGGGAGTAGAAAGTCTCCTCTCTCTCCCCAACTAACCAAAAGAGAAGACAATGTGGTCTGCATCTGTAAAGATCTACTTATATTGCCTTGGAACACACCCCTGGGAAGTTCCATTCTGCCCTATAGAGTCACTACGAGTTACAATCTCCTAGGCAGCAGTGCGTTTGGTGTTGTGTTGTGTTTTGGTCTTCCAACTTAGCAGAACTCAGTCTAGACGGACCATGACATCAGTTAGCACGTGACAGATGAGGTTCCCTGAGGATGAAGTGAACCTTCGTGAAGTGCCTGCCTTAGCTGTGCTCTTTCTGCTGACTGTGCTCTCGACTCCCTGCAGCTCTGCTCTGGTACCCTTCTTTTCCAGACCCGGAATGCCAGTAACCGGCCGTCTTAACTTGGGCCTCATTTGAAGTGCTGACAACATACTATTGTCTTTGTTTTGAACCATATCATAAATGAATTTTTACCATTTAAAAATGGATTTTGAATCAAATTTTAATAGAAATCATCTAAATTCAAGTATTTACTGTTCAAAGAAAACGATTAATAATTTCCAATAGAACAAGTATTGAGAAGAAATAGGTTAAAGTTTTTTTTTTAACACATCCTGGAAGAAGTTTAACATCCATTAGACACCTCGTTAATTTGGGTTTTTGTTGCTGTTCGTATTTTTTTGTTTTTAAAGGTGAAGTTTTTGCATGATTTCAAATAAAAACAATGAATCTCATAGCAGGTAATAAGTGCTCTTTTACTCACTGCCATCGAGCCAGTTCTAACCCATAATGTTCATAGAGGAGAGAGGTGTGGTAAGCCTCGTCTTTCTCCTGAAGAGCAGCTAGTGGGTCTCAGCTTCTGACCTGGTGGTTAGTGGCACAATACTAACCACTGTGCCACCAGGGCTCAAAAAGTATGCTATAGGTCCCAACCTATAATGAGAATAAAGAATGACCTATAGCTAAAGGCATAGTAAGAGAGATGCCTAGACCCAGTAGAGGGAGCTACAGGAGAAAAACGAATAAAAATGGGTTTCTCCGGTGCTTAGTACTTTCCAAAGATAGAAATGTCTTTAAGGCATGGCCCATTGTTCCACAGAGTGGTAAGACTGACCCATTCAAAATTAAGCTCCCTGTGTTCTATAATAAAATAATAAATTTGCAGGGAACTCATCAAATTAAAACGAAAATTATCTGCTTGTTAGCTGACTGCTTTAATAGTATTAATAAGTACTTTGTGACTCTCCTAAGCAGTATTTTTTTCTATCTGAAATACAAACTTGACTATTTAAAATCGCCCTTCTTCGTAATTCTCCAGTTATTATAAACAGTACTACCACGAGTTGAGTGCTTAAGATAGGTCAGCTCTTTGTGGTGTTCCTTAATGCATTGTCATTCGTTCTGCCTTAGCTCCGTTGTGGTGTTATTCTCAAGCTCATTCTCTTCAACTTTTTAAAACTATCCGTATCAGTAGAGTATCAGGGTATCAAATAAGATGTGGAGCTTTCGAGCCATCTTACTTTTCTGAAAGACTGAATGGATGCCTTTATCCATACCACTTCCTAGAGGAGTTGCTTATCAGAGAAAGCCGTAGACAGTGAAATCATGTTTTCTCTACTAACAATGGGGAATCAACTACTTCTGAAAGAAAAGGTCTATTTATTTAAAAGTCCTTGGATGGCACAAATAATTTGTGCTAAAGGTTAGCAACTAAACTCGGCCAGTGGGTTTATTCTATTTGTTCACGGAGTAAAGAATTGGTGGCCCAGTTCCATAAAGATGACAGCCAGGAAAACCCTACGAGCACGTGGGGTCACCGCGAGCTGACAACAGGAGTGGTTTTGGTTTCTATGACGACACCGTTTCACAGTCCATTTCTAGAGCAGCTTCCACATGCGCATCAGTTAGCAAAAAGCCATCCTGTGCTTCTGCTGAAGGTTGTGACGGCAGTCTTTCCTCTTTTATATTGCAAAGCTGTCTGTTCAAAGAGTTGGATAAAATGGACTGCTTATTTGAATGAGAACCTGTGTTCTGAACAAGTCCTTATTTGTGTCCACACTGTTCTCGTAAGTAACATCCTTGAATCGGGAACAGCCCTCATCCTCCGCAGTGATTCTCATTGGGCAGCACAGGGTGGAGGAGGAGTAATGGTAGACTCTCTGTACATTGAAAAAATTCAATGAAGTGGAGAGCAAATGTTTTTAGAATGATGATGGTAACGAGTGTCCAAATGTGCTTGACACAATGGATGAATGTATGGATTGTGATGAGTTGTATGGGCCCCCAATAAAATGATTTTTTTTAAAAAGAAAAAAATCAATGAAAGAGAATGTGTCCTGGCCCCCATCTCCCACCCCATTTTAATATATTAAATTCTATTCAGTTTCGAGCCAGGAATTCTCTATGAACACGTGGGGTCACCAGGAGCTGAAGTTGACTTGGTGGCAACAGGAATCATCGCCTGTCCTCTGTTTAATCTTCAGAATTTAAAATGACTTTATATAGTACATGTTGACTTGAGAAAAATTACACCAAAATTTTATGCATGCTCCCTGCCTCTTGTTTAAAACTATGATAGAAAATAACTAAAATACGTGCTGCAATTCCAGATACGAATGGATCAGATAACTCTATACCAATGGCTTATCTTACACTGGATCACCAACTACAGGTAAAAGAGTTCATCCTAAATGAATGTTTGTTTTTTCCTCCTTAGAAAGTGCGTCTTTAAAGCTGACAATTAAGTTCCTTTCCATCATTACGTATTCGTTTATGCGTTTAGTTGGCCTTGTGAAATTTTCTAAAGCCAAGTGAAAGTAAATGATTTCTTTTAAAATAGATGAGTCACATTTAAAATTGGCCAAATTATATGCTCTTATCTTAATATTCATCTTAAAGTACTCTGCCATATCTTTGTTCGTGATCGATTAAGCATAGCATTTTCACCCTTTGATGTTAGTGCCTCAAAATATAAACTTACATCATATAAGCGCTGTCCTATTTAGTATACTTTGTGATATATCCTCAGTTCATATGATGTAAGATGTACTACATTTAAATATATTTCCAACCTGGAAATTTGACATCTTTTGGTGTAAGAGATTATTTGGCAATCTGAAACGTAACGCCAAAGGCCAAGAGTGCTGTTACAATTCTCAGTAACAACGGAAATACTCAAACAGCAAGTGTAAATTTAAGTTCTGAGTTAACTCTGACGAGAGGACACTGAGATGTTCTAGGGCTTGGTTTAATGCTTTATTTTTAAAAGATCACTACTTTAGTGCTACAAAAAATATATTCCAGTCTGCCTTAACTCTGAGCTAGATAATTGAAATTTGATTTAATTATGTGCAAACATTCCTGTTTTTATTTTCAGCCTCTAGCACCATGCCCAAACTCCAAAGAATCTATGGCAGTGTTTGAACAGCATTGTAAAATGGCCCAAGAATATATGAAAGTTCAAACAGAAATTGCATTGTTATTACAGAGAAAGTAAGTGTTTTGTTTGTTTTTAATGAACACAAAAACACATTGGCATTTAGAGTTTGCAATATGCCTTTGCTTAAAGGTAGGAAAACAAGCTTTACAATTTGTAGAATTAGTCATTACGTATATTTCCAACCTGGAAGTTTTATTTGTTTATGTTTGTTTTACACACACCCTGGTTTTCACAAACACAACTCTTGATTTTATATTATTCTAAGGGAAATAAAACTGCTCAAGAATAATCCTGTTTCGTATGGTCTCAGAATATTAAATTTAAAGGTTGTTTAGATTTATTACTTACGTGGATGTAGGTTAAGTGATTTTATTTACTAATCATGCATTGTTCTTTACTTTGGAAACATTTTTGTAGGCATTGCCTTTCCAGGTGTGTTTGGAAGAGAATTATTTTATTAGAGGATTTTTGCATCCTGCCTCTGAGCGTTTCCTAGAGAGTTCCCATACATACTTTGTTCTAAGAGCTTTAGAAACCACTTCCCATGTCTCACACACATCCACCACCACCCCCTTCCCATGCACCCTCGTTTAAGAACTATAAACCACTTTCCATATGTGGTCATTTATTGTTGTTTTTAAATCACCAACTTAGTGATAGAACAATGTAAATAATTTGAACTTTCTTACCTTAAGGTAGGCAATAAAGAAGATAAAACACTACTGTCTGGGACTTAGGAAAATACTCCCCTTGTTTTTTTTAATACCTTTTATTTCATATTCTTTACCTATACTAATTTCTTCATACTTTAATCAATCAATAAGGAGTCTTATTGTAGAGGAAAACAAATGGTAAAATGGACGGAGGAATGTGAAAATTACGACAGTTTTAATCAGTTTAAAATCAGAACTTTTAAGAACTTATTTGAAGACTTTTCATTTGTTGGATCCCTTATGCTCACTTTAAGAGCTCATACTTAATATCCCCCCAAAAGAAAGGATTCATAGTATATGGAAGAATCTGGATTTCGACTCTATAAATGATTCTGGTTGGGCAAAATGTCATTGATTTAAAGGTGGTTCTCTGAATTGTTCTATTTTTAAAATAAGAAAGAGACTTCCATTTGGGAACATGCTAGCTCTTCATCCTCCCCTGTCCTCCACACAGCATCACAGGAGGTACCAAATGACAATTTCTGAACCTTCAATTATACCACTTAATCTGTTACATTAATTGTGTCAGTACAGTTACTTATTAGATGGATTGTGACAATTGTATGGTTACACTAAAAAAACTCCAAATTCATTGCCATCGAGTTGATTCTGACTCATAACAACGCTGGAGGGCAGGATGCCACTGCCTTAGGGAGAAAGCCTTCTCTTTCTACTGTAGAATGGCTGGTGAGTGTGAACAACCACGCTTGTGGTTAGTACCATACAACCAGAGCTCTTGTGGGTCCAAGCTTATTTGGTCTACCACCCCCTTTTCAGGAAAAAAAATTACTCAGTACCCCCTGGCTCTACTGTAACCCATAATCTCGGATAAAGTCTGGGTATCTGCTTTTGCAGCTCCTTGGTTGTACCAACACCTCCCTACCGAGGGGACAATTGTCTTCCACTTTGGGAAACACAGCTAGAGGGTGGATACATTTTCCATTTTACTCCATAAGTAGATATGAGTAATGTAACTAAGATGCACAATAGTCCCAGTTTTCATCATCAGTAAGGTGGGAATTTTTCCATTATTGTTAGGCGCCATCTAGTCAGCTACAGCCCATAGTACCCTTGTGCACCACAGAACGAACCACTGCACAGTCCGGCACTGCCTCACAGTTGTTCCTGTGCTTGAAACCACTGTTACACTGTCCGCTCATCTTGTGAAAAGCCTTCCTCTTTTTCATTGCCCTTCCACTTTACCAAGCATGATGTCCCTCTCCAGGGACAAGTCTCTCCTGGCAATATGTCCAAAGTGTGTAAGATGAAGTCTTGCCATTCTTGCCTCCAAGGAGGACTGTAGCCTTACTGCTTCCTACACAAGTCAGTTTGTCCTTTTAGCACTCCATGGTACTTTCCATTTGCGTCTATAGCACCACAATTGGAATGCATCTATTCTACTATGGTCTCCGGTATTCCTTGTCCAACTTTCAGATGCAATCAAGTGTAATAATTCTATTGTGTAACACTTGTTTTTAGGCAAGAACTAGTTGCAGAACTGGACCAGGATGAAAAGGACCAGCAAAATACATCTCGTCTGGTACAAGAACATAAAAAGCTTTTAGATGAAAATAAAAGCCTTTCTACTTATTACCAGCAATGCAAAAAACAACTAGAAGTCATCAGAAGTCAGCAGCAAAAACGACAAGGCACTTCATGATTCTCTGGGACCCTTGAATTTTAAAATATGCAAAGAAAGACTTGTTTTTTTTTGTTTTGTTTTTTGTTATTTTTCAAGGAAACAATATCCCTTATAATGACAGTTCATGAGTGTTCGCTTTTTTGGCGTGTTCTGAATGCCATCTGCCTCTATTTGCTGCATGTGATTCATCGTTTATTTCTCTATTCTCCTGGTGGACATGCAACTCAACTGTCTCGTTGCATAACATCAGGGCGTCTGGGACTTGAATCAGCAGCAGTTCTTCACGTGAAAACCCATGCAGGGAACTCTGGCTGTATATGCATGCTCATTGTACAGTGACGGGGGTCAAACTAGCTGCCATGTGCTGCAAACATTGTCTTTTTCTTCTTCCCATTAGAGGTAGAACCTCTGTAATGATTTTGTTCATGTATCTCATCTCAAAACAATAATGTTTTTGTTTTCTGAAATGTGGTTTATACCACATTAAAGACAGGGTATTGTAAAGTAGAATCATTGGTGGTGCATTGCAGAAATAGTGAACCTGTAGGGATAATTCAAAATGAGAGTCTTGATGCCAGCACCCTTGGATGAACACTGAGCTTTGTTCCATCCATTAATGCGCAGAGTCACGTGGTGACTGCTCTGTTTAAGGAAAGCAGGTTTACATGTTTTCATTAGACTTCAATTGGATTACGATACATTGAACAAAATGGAACTCTCTTTTTTAAGAGGTAAAGATTTTTAATTCTGTGATTGTGTGGATGTGTGTTGAAATTGTAAAGCTTTTATGACTCTAATATTAAGCTCTTAAATGAAATTAAAAAGCAAATGGACATGATTCTGTATAATCATTCCTTCCTGCAATGATTATTGGATTGTTTTACTATATAGTTTTAAAACTAAAGAGAAATCATGGGAAATACTTGGACTTTAAATTTCTCTTCACAATACAACGAAGAAAAGACCTGGCAGATCTTGAAAGGTTAAGAAAGAAGTAAGTAAATGTCAATTCACCAAGTATACCCACTTCCCCGAGATACTGGGATAATTGGTTTTTCTGGCAAGCTCTCTAAGAGTGCCTGTTGCCTTTCAACTCTTTTAAGAGAGCATTTCAACACATATAAAGAGTATTTATATTGTTAACAGTTAACTTTGCTACCAACTTGAAACTAACTTTAAAGTGATAATAAAAATTCATTGAAATAATAGACTATAGAAGCTCTATTTTTTCAGTTGCCATTAAAATCAGTCACATTTTGATACCAGTACAAGGTGTCTTTTAAATAAGGATGTCATTGACTTCATTTTTTATAGCAATGTTTTATGAAGAGAAAATTAAAAATGGAAGCGTAATTGCTGTGATTCTTAAGAATTGTGATTGTTTGTAGATCTGCTCTATTTCACATAAGCAAGTTGGTCTAAGCAGTGATCAAAGCTGTTTTTCAAAATGCTAAAGCAGGTAACCTTTTCTTCCATTATTTTACCCCTCCCACTGAGTTTTATAATGTATTCTTTGTGTATACAGCAATAAAGGTAAAGGACAGTTTATACTAAACTGTGTCTTTTTAGCTTCTTCACAACCTATTACAAGCAGTCCCTGGGTTACGACAAGTTCTGTTCCTAAATTCTGTCCTTAAACTGAATTTATATTGTAAGTTGGAACAGTTAAGTAGGGTTCCTTTGTAATACCAGTTATCAAGTATTTGTCTTAGTGTATATGTGTAACTTTCTGTAAAAAAAATTTAAACATGTCCAGAGATACTAAAGCATTTGTAACGTAAGAATACAGTGATGATATGTTTTCATGTGCATTGTAAAGTAGCACCCATTTGTTACTACAAAACATTGCATGTCCCTCAGAGTTTTCCTATGTGTTTCAGTGGGGGCCAGGTCATTGTACATGTGCCTGGATGCTCACAGCTCCGGGGCTACCCGTAGGAGAAAGCTTCTGGGAACGAAATTCCTTCTGTCCCTTCATCTAAATCAAAAGAGGGCATTATTCCCAATAATTTGTTCCCCGAACCGAAGCTACTCGTGGACTCAACGCGTTAGTAGAAAAGAACCTTTGCAGAAAGTGCCTGTGGACCAGGGAAAGCATGGCTCCGTCTGTGCTTCTTTGTCTGTGTGTCCAGCCTCGTCCGTTGCAGCCTGTCTCCTGGCAGAGCACGGGGTAGCCAAACTCAGAGAGCGAAGGCTTTCTTTTTTCATTAGGACTTGGCATTGCAGATTTACTGATTTTAGATCTATTCATTAATGTTTTCCCTGGATCATCCCACACTTAAAGGGAGAATGTGTTGTTATATGCATCCGCTTCATCAAACCATCTGATGAGGTAATGGAATAGCAGCTTTACATAATGGTACCAAATGCAAAAGACTGAACTACTTGTGTGTTTACAATAAATCCCTTAGGATTTTCAGTGCTGTAGTTGTCCTGGATGTCAAATGCAAGTGAACCGCCAATCTCATACATTTTAGACTCTGAGTAAAGAATACTAAAAGTGATTAAAATCGACAGACCAGGTGGCCAGTGTCCACCCTTAAAGCCTTCAGAGGGAGGTCAACAGGGAACCTCCTTTGTAAATTAATTCCGTTGTACAGTTTATTTTACACCTCTTTGGGGATGTAAATAGCTCAAGGCCACGGCCTAAGAAATTCACAATCACCCCACCCAACAACCCTTAATAACATTAATCAATAACATTTATTCTTGCCCCAGAAGAAGCAAAACGTTTACCTACTCTGGTAGCTGGGGCGGGTGGGGGTGGGGTTGAAGTCAGGGAGGTCCTTATCCTACCGCTGCTAAAAATAGGGTTTCTTTAAAATAAAAAAATCAGTATTTACCATATAGCAACAGTATTGAAGTTTAAAAGTTGTTTACCAATACCGATGTTTGACTGCTTTTGCCTAAGTATTTTGGAGTATTGAATGTCTTTTTCTCCCAAGGTCTCCGTCTTCCCCGTTTCAGCTCTTCCTGCGGACAGCCAGGCATGCCAGGTCTTCTCCCCACGGCACCCTCATTTCTGTCCTATGTCTGTGGGATGTCCAGCCACCTGCCACTGCCCCCTCCTGGCTTCAAATGGTAGTGAGTTCTCCTTTTGTCATTCAGAACATTTTATGTAAGATGATGTCATGCAGAAATTCATACTCATAATGTATACTTGAAAGGAAGCTTTTTAGTTTTTTTTTAATAAAATGCAGATTGTAATTACAAATGTCTATGGGAAAATGGTGAATGATTTGTGTCAACAAAACTGCTCCAGCTGTGTGTTTACCTTACCCAGAACCTAATAAAAAAAATGAAATGTGTTCTTATAATACTCAGCATAATCATGCTTTTTGAGAGGCTGGGCGGTTGGCAAATTAACATATTACCTCCTCCAGTTTAGCAATTTGGTCAAATTGGGTACTCTTCGTAATTTCTGTCCATCCTGACTAGTATGAATTACAACATGGTAGACATTGCGAAGTGATCATCCTCATGAGAAAGCTGGTAATTCTGCTAGCAAATGCTCAGAGCATTTCTGAGTTAACTCTGTTAGCTCCTACAGCCTATATTCTTACTGACATATTCTTACTGACTCGACCTTCAAGTGATTCCATACACTCACTCACTCACTCATTGCTTGAGCAGGTTTTTATTGGACCACTACGGCAGCCATGCTCTTGTGACTGGTGCCAGGTTATATGTCCCCTTTTAGCTCTCTGGGCCAAGAGGTCTGTGGATACTGTCAGCATGTGGTGTGAAGATGGACAGGTGAGCTGTAAAGTGGATGGCAGATGTAGGGGAGCATGACGTCACTTCTAAGGAATAGGCACAGGGTCTCGGTGACCATTCCCTAGATGGCAGCAAGCCAGGATTGAAATCCATTTCTGCTCCAAACAGCTTCATTTCATACTGCATTTTAAAATGCTCACCGGAGGCCTGAGGCGCATCTGCTTTCTTGTCCCTTCTTTTCTGAACGAGGAAGTGTGCAGTCCTTTGACCCCCTACGCCCACCCCCTGCCCCTCTAGCTGAAAGTATGTGACAGGAAAATAAAAAGGTGGCAGCGCACAAAAGACTTGTTCCCCAGCTGGAAAAAACGAGGCTGCTTGTTGGGGCTTGGGGAGGAGGATTGGGTTTGTTTGCATTTTTCTCTTATTCTTGATGTTTTCTTTGTTTGCTTTAATTGAAATTCACATAACCTAAGTGAATAAATCAGTGACATTCACAGTGTTCTGCAGTCAGTCCACTGCTGTCGACTCCAAAAACCGTTTTCCCAACATTGGCTCCTACTCTCAACCTTTGGCAACTACTGATCTGCCTTTGGGAGAAAGGAGGGGGTCTTCTACCCAGTCCCCAAGGGGGGCTGTGAGTTGGAATCACCTCAGTGGCAATGAGAGAGCGCGTAATCTCAGGACTGTCTGTGGATTTACCTCCTCTGATGAGTTCATAGATGTGGTCATACAGTAGGGACTCTGTGTCTGACTTCACTTAGCATGTTTCAAGGCTCATCCATGTTGTAGCATGAATCACGGTTGCTTTTCATAGCTGGATCATATTCCATTGCTTCACATCCTGTGTCGCCGGCTCTCTTACTCGCTGTGAGCTCACACGTTCCCCAGTGCTCAGTGGTTCCCTACTCCAGTCGAGTGCGCATCTACACAGGATGCTTCAGCCACAAAGCAAGTCCCATCGCAATTTGATGAAGACCCCAAACAGAAGGAAAAGGAAAAGCACCGCTGTTAGAGGGGAATGGGGGCCGAGTCTCTTTGCCTATTCACTGGACTAAGCTTGGCGATGTGATGAGTCGGTGAGGCCACCTGTTATGTGTTGGATGGTTAGTCCTTGGGCTCCTGGGCTTCGAGTGGGCAGCTCGGGTGAGTCATCGCTGCCTGCTGGGGGTTGGATGTTCAGTCTGAAGCTAGCACTTTGAATGTGTACATTCTTGTTGATTTAACTGTGCAGTTCATTGAGTTTTGACACGTATACACCTGGGCAACCATGTCCACAGTCAGGATGTTGAATTGCCACCCTTCCCCAGAGTGCCCGCTCTGCCTTTGCAGATCATTCCTGACCCCCGGCAGGCACTGCCCTGCTTTCCAGCGCTCTAGGCTCGGATGGCTTTACAGGAATGAAACGACTCAGGAGAAAGTCTTGTGAGACTGGCACTTGACAGCTTTCCTCCTACTTAAAATACTAATTTTATTCTTTCCAAAGAAAACGTGAAAACAGTTTTATAGTAATACTGGTCTTTCACTGGCTACAGTCTGAGAATGCATGCAGGTGGCAGCGTGTTCAGGATGCTCGACTTCCCTGTGTAGTAGCATCGACGCCATTTATTTTTATAGTCAGAAGCCCTGCTTGTGTATCTGGTTACTGGTTGTTGGGCTGTTAACCTCAAGGTCAGCAGTTTGAAACCACCAGCCGCTTCTACTGCCATAAAGGTCAACAGTCTCAGAAACCCACAGCTGTTCTACTCTGTCCTGTAGCGTCACTATGAGTAGGAAGCAACTCGGTGACAAAAATACCTATTTTCTGTACATGTTTATATTTTTAGAGAGCCTTAATGCTTGGTCACAAAAATCCCTTGTGTTTGGTCCACACCAAATTAAACTTGGTGTTAAAGTTATATCCATGTTAAAGTGAGTGCCTTTATCTCTATCACTTCCGGTAATGGAAGTGACGGGTTTGCCCCAAGTGGCAGAAGTCACATGTTGGTACTTCATTGGTAGTTTTCAGCTAATATGATTAATGAGTTCAACTTAAAAAAACAATCTGCCTTTCATTCTTTCTCAGAGGACAGCGCCTTTCCTGCTTGTTCCTAATCTTAAACACTTTCCTCTGCAGGAGAAACGAAGTGTTTTCTCCTGCACCTCTGTCAGTGGTGCCACCTGCTGGGGTCAGGCACCCTAGAAATGGGCTGGGGTGCTGTGGCGGACGTGAGTCTGCTTACTCAGCAGTGGCTAGACTTTTCCTTTCGGCACTCACCTACCCTGCCACGTGGTCTCACCCAAACGCAGCCCTGAGGTCAGCCTTCAACACCAGTGGCTGCTGAGTGGTGTGACAGTTGGGTCCTCCAAAACAAAGCTGTTTTCAGGGAAGCTTTTCTGAAAGCACGGATGCTTATTACATGTTTCTGAGTCTCACGGGCTTTTTACGGTTCCAAGTAGTGAAACGCTCTCTCGATCCTGTAACTTATGGTCAGTGAGATCTTACAGAGGCTGACTGGCAACAGATTTGTTGCTGCGAGGGCACCAGAAACTTCCTGAGGAAAGACCCCGTGACTCCTGAGCAGATGAAAGACCTCTGCAGAGTGCAGACGAGGTATTGTTTTCATTTGTGGAGTCCCGTTCCTTAGTCACTGCACGAAGGGCTAGAATCATCATGGGTTCATCTCCGGAATACAGTGAGAGAGCTGGGATGGGAGTAGCTGGTTTTATGGTGAGAACAATGGTCACAGGGCTGTGTCACACACACTCTGTAGAACGTTTCTGGCTTCTTAGTCAGTGTCCTACAGAGGTCTTTGACCCATCTAATGTGGTCAGCTTCTGACTTGCAAAAATGAGCACCATTCTTGTTCCTTTTTTAATTCTCTCAACTGCATAAGAAACTGGTGAATTTATATGCATATAAAAATACCTATTTTGGGCATTAGAATGAGTATATGGTTTGAAAATCTACATAAAATACACATATAGTTACCTAATGCTGTTTTCCCATTCATGTTTTTCATATGTCTGAAATGAACTTGTATGTCACTACAGACTCCAAGTCCACTTCAATTTTACTTTACTTTTAGCTGCTGAAACTAATAGTTAGATTCTAGGCTGAGGACTCTGTTTCATTTAAGGCTGTGAGCCTGCACTCTAGTTGATGTTTGAAGAGCACAGGGATTTAAAGCTGTTTTCAACGAGATTCAAGACAGTTGCATCGCCCACCTCAGCAAATGACATCGGTAATAATGTCCCCTTAAGACTGCCCCCATGTGGTTCTTTTGTTCCCTTCCCTCTCTGATAGCCCATTCTTCCCCTCTCCCCATCCTGCCTTCAACCCTGGCCTCCTAGTAGTCTCCAAAGTTTTATCTTTTGGTGTTCAAACAAACAACCCCTTTTCTGTGTTTTCCCTTATAATAATAGTGTCGTTCAAAATTTGCCTTTACATGATTGACTAGTTTTACTAAGCATGTGATTGGGCTAAGCTGAAGCAGGCCGGGGCCCCACTTCCCTGGAATGAGGAGACCGAGGAACCATGCCCAGAATGCCTGATTCCTGGATAACAGGACAGCCTACCTGCCAGAACAAACTACATCCTGGGCCATAAACCTTCCCCCCTGCCAGCACAACCCCCTCCCCCTCTTTCCTTTAAGAATCCCACACCCTGAGCAGAGCCCACGATTCCTCTGGGCTACTGGCTAGACCATGGGGCTTCGCCCGGGAGCTCCCCCCTAATAAAGCTATTTCTGTTTCTGCTCTCCCTTTGTCCTTTCAGTTATCTTTGTCTGTCTCCCTGTGCCTCATTTACCCTTCACTTGTCCTGTGCCTTACTTCATCTTTACATAATGCTCTTTAGTTTTGTTTGTGTTTTGAAAGTTGTCATTGTTTTACGGAGCCAAGTTTTATGTGTCGGAGCCTTTCAGGGAGGAAGATAAATATTCTTGGCCTAAGCAGAACATCGGTTTTACGTTTTTTGTTTCATCCTTATCAGAGAACCCCTGTATCTTAGCACTAAAGACATATTCATATTCTCTGTAGTACAAGTATATTTATCAGGATAGGTTTGCTGGCCAAAATAATGACTTAAACAAGATATAGTTGATTTTCATACCAAAAAATTGAAAGGGAAGAGAAACCACAAACGTGACACCAATCCAAAAAGTACAGCCACGCATCCACTGAGCAGACCTTAGTCACATGGTCACCTGTCACTTCCAGGCGGCAGGAAGTAAATGCCTTTATGACGGGTAGCCACCGGCCTACCAATTGGGAGCTTGGTTATGCGTGAGCGTGCACAGGACAAGAGGGACTGCCACACTCCCTTGGAAAGAGCGGTAGGCCACTGCCTCTACCGCTTCCCTTGCCGTCTCCATAGTAAAGTGGGAGGCTAATGAAAAGCTGGCTTCTCAATCACAATGCGCAAAGCAGCTTGCATGTTGAGTCATGTTTTATCTGAAAGACGTGCACATACTTGTCTTTATAATTGCTGCACCTAGGAAAGTGAAATTTCAAATGTGTCCGGTTGGAAATGAGCCGAGATCATTTCAGTGTCCTCGAGCAGAGCTTGAAGTAGACGTTGGGGAGTTGTTTGGTGGAAGCCATCCATTATGATGTTTCAAACTGTATGAGGAAAAAACCTTACTAAAGATCCCTTGTGTAAATTCAGAGGTGTCATTATAAAGAATGTAGTTGAAAGAGATCATCGAACCTTTATTCGTGTATGACCCATGCCTCAGACTTTTCTGAAACGTTCCTTCCACTTGCTCTGGGGCCACGGAGGCTCCATGGAAAACCTCCTAATGGATGACGGAGGCCCAGGCTCTGAATGACCAATGCCCTGTGCGCATCAGAGGCCTCTGGAGCCCTGAAGGGCTCACAGCAGCTAACGACTCTTGTTTCACCATTAAGCTACAACGCAGAGGTGGGGAATCACTTGACTAGCTAGTAAACGAAGGGCTCAGGTTCAAACCCAGGTTTCTTAGACTCATCGGAGCCAAGAAACTTAGTTTTAGCTGAGTTCGGACTTGGAATGCGTTTACTGGTAGACAGCATACAGCCAAGGATAACTAGGTTTTTAAACCCATTCATAAAAGTCTGCTGGGTTCCTAATAGGGATGAAATATCATTGACTGAAACAGAACAAAGACTATTGAAGAAAACCAGAGTAATGGGCGCCTTCCAATGTCAGTATGAATTTTACCTTTTAAGATTTTGTAATAGTGTTTTTTATAGGTTTTGGGGTTATTTTGGAAAGCTAGAAGCATCAAGGAAAGAAAAATGACTGTGGGGATGGGGTGGAGAGTGATAGAAAACCCTCACCACTCTAGCTGAGTACCCCAAGGCTGCAGAGAGACTCTATGCCCTTTGTCTTGTGTGGATGCCCCACAAAGTTTGGAACTCCTACTTGCAGGCAGGGTGGGCTTCAGAGGAGGGCATTCATTGCCAAGGCACACCCCTAATTTCATGGAGAAGCTGCCCAATCGGAACAGAATCCATGAGAACTTAGACGACTTTAAAGATTCCTAGGCCCAGCCATGGAGATTCTGATCAGACAGAATTACAGGAGAAGACCCAGAAGGATAAAAGAAACCAACAAGAATTGGATCACCCTCACCCTTGCATACCTACGGGAGGGAAGGAGGGAGGCGGTCTTTACCTTTGCTTACTCATGGAAGCAAGTGGAGCAGACGTTTCTCTCGGCTCTTCCGTGCACGTCTGCCATCAGATGAAACTTGCCTACCACCTGGGGACACAGCAGACAGCCAGTGAGAATATTGAATGGTGGTGCTGTTAGGTAGCTAGCTTAGGGACAGGGGGCTTGTCCCTCCCATGCCTGCAAAGGCCCCCATCAAGGAGGTTGGACAGAAATCAGGCAACCATTGAACACCTATGAAAGCCCCAAACTGAGCATGCTCATAACCCAAGCCCCCAGACAGGTGGGAGGTACACCTGGGCTCCCAAACAAGGCCAAGGCTCATGACATCACCCAGGTGGGCCTAACTCAGCCAATGGGGTCAACCAATACCATCAACCATGCCTCCCCTGCCAGAGTTTGGAATATCCTGACTGGGAAGGCTCAGAGGCAGGGGGAAGGGGAGGGTCTCCCTTCTCAGTCTGGGCGCACATGCTCTTACAGGGTTCTTGGGCTTCTGGCCTCCCAGGACCACGCCCCCCCCCCCCAGTTCCACACATGTGGGTGCCCTTTGCCATATGGCTGTGCTCAGCTGTGAATCCCTTTGAGACTCTAAAACGTGAAACTTATCCAGCCCTCCATAAAAACCCACTTGGATTACAAAACAGCTTTCAGTGTGCGAAGCAAACGGCCGAGGTATCACCCACCCGAGAAACCTAACACCATCTTCATTTATGAGCTAATTTAGCTTCATCTCACACTCACGAATCTGCTTTCGTAAATTCTCCCCAAGTCTGCACCATGTTAACATCCATCCATTTACAGCCCTTTGGTTCCAGACCCAGTGAACACCTGGGAACACATTTCAGAGTTAGGCTGCGGAGGAAGGTCCCTTGACTTAGACAGTGGGGAGAGGGCTGGACTGGAGCCAAATGACCGGGCTCCACTCGGGTGAGGGCTGTTTGCTAGGTCAGCATGGTGCAGGAGCCTCTCGGAGAGAGATGATAGCAGGGTGGCAGTCCCAGCTGTCACACATGACCCGCTCTAAGTCTTGCTGTATTAAACCAGAGGGACACTGAGAATCACAGCTGCCCCCCCACAGAAGTGGAAATGCAACTTAATTCTCTAATCGCCGTAAATTGTAGTGATTATTTTTGTAAAGCCATAAATGTACACTATGACTAAATGAGTCCTTTTCATAAGATCCTTTCAGTTATTAACTTGGCATAAATGCTCATCCCTGAAGATTAAGTTGAACGCTAATCACTGAGCGTTCAAGGACCTTTTGTAATCCCCAGCTTCGTATTTACAAATGGTAATTTCCCCTGCGGTAGCTGAGTTGGTCAGATCATCGTCGCTATGTAAGCAATAACGTGTGACAAGGCATGCTGTAACAAGGAGTGTGTGCTCATCACTCCCCCGGCCCTCCCCCTCTCCTGCATTCCCAATTCCAGCTTAATTAGAACACCTCAGAATTTGCTCTTGTTTAACAAGAGGGCAAAACAAGCCCTGAAACGCTGACTCGATCCTCCACTTGGGTCTGCTGGCTCAGCTCATTAAGGGCCATGATTTTACAACCTGTCCTTGGTGGTCTGCTTACGGGTTGGGGGACAGACAGGAGCCTGGGAGCAAAGAGCAGACTGCTTCTCAGCTAGTCAGCAATTTGCCCTCTTTTGAAAATGCATTCAAAAGATTTAGCTCATACAAAGTAAAACATGCACAGGCCTTTTTAATATTTAGTATTCAGTCTACCAAATGAGCGACTGCTGCCCCATGCCTTTCCATTCTTCTGAAATTCACAGGTAATGAATGGGCTTGCACTCCATCACCTGTCTCTTGACTGTCCTGTGATGGACTGCATGTTGCTGTCGTGCTGGGAGCTAAGTCACTGTATTTGGGACACCAAAAGGGTCACCCACCTTGTACAGGCTTCAGAGTAAGTCAGAAACTAGCCAGTGAAACCCCTGGGCATCACAACTTTGCCCTACTGTCTTGCTTTGAAACATCGTTTGTTAAATGATTGTTAAATGCCAGCCCACTCAGAGGGAGAGCATGAAACACTTACCAGTCCTGCACCATCCGGATAATTGTAGGTTTGAGCCTTCTGTTGCAGGCGCTGTGTTAGGTTTCTCGCGTGGGAAATCCCTCGGTTCTTGGCTTCGGAGGAGAAAGAATTCACACAGAAGCCTGGTTGGTAATCCAAGCAGGTTTTTATAAAGGACGGGAGAAATTTCAGGTTTTACAGTCTCCCAGGAGTACATGCTGTCAGGGAAGCGTGCCAAACCGTGCATAAGCTGTGCTGGGGCTCACAACCGAACATGGGCCACCTCGTGGGACTGTGCGCCCACACGTGGTGAACTGAGGCCAGAGAGACCACGGCATGGCAGTGCGGGCGCAGAAGCAGGGTAAAAGAGAATCGGGAGCGCGTGGTCAAAGATAGTGAGGAGAGAGCCTGAGGGCACCGAATAGGCCCCAGGGGGGTGGGGGGGGGCCCTGCCCAGGCGGCATGTGTGCGCCTCCTACCTCCACCTGCCTCTGACCAGGAGGTGAGCATAAAGACTCGGCCTTCCTGCTGCCAGGATATTTAAAGCCTCTGGCTGGGGAGGCGTGGTTGATGGTATTGGTCGACCCCATTGGCTGACTTAAGCCCACCTGGGCCTAGTTTCGGCCTCACAGGTGTAACACCCATCTGGCATGGTGGGAGAGGGGATTTACCCCCCCCCCCCCCCCACCCCCATGAACTGGAGCATGCCCAGTTCAAGCCTGATTTTTCTTCCCAACGTCCTGTAGGGGGCCTTGTGCAGGCGTGGGAGGAACAACCCCCTGCCCCTGCCTCTTAGCTGCTTAACAACTGCATCTCTTCCTCTTTTTATGTGACCCTCCACTTAGCCAGCGTGTTGTTCTTCTGCAGGGATTGGTCCCTCCTGACAACATGCTCAAAATAAAAGACACAAAGTCTTGCCATTCTTACTGTCCAGTAGCCATCCAGCTGTACTTCTTCCAAAGCAGTTCTGTGGGTTCTGACAGCCCAGGATAAATTCCCTGTCCTTTGCCACTACTGGCTTGGGTCAGGTGCGCCTCAGTCCTCAGAGTGAGATCTTTAATCTTGTTATTAGGCTTAAATTCGGAATATCAGGTTCACAGAACCTAATTCAAATGCACTACATGAAGTTGAATTACGGTGTTGGCAAAGAATATTGCAAGTACCATGGGCAGCTGGAAGAACACACAAGTCTCTTTCGGAAGGAGGACAGCGGGAGTGCTCGATAGAAGGGAGGGTGGCAAGTACTTTGGTATGTTATCAAGGGAGACCCTCCCCTGAAAAAGGACACCAGGCTTGATAAAGCAGGTCAGTACACAAGGAGGCAGGCCCTCCAGGAGATGCATTGACAGGTGGCTGCAACAATGGGCTCCAGCATGCCAACTGTGAGGGAGACACAGGCCTAGGCAGTGTCTGTTGTCCTTAGGGTCTCTAATGAGTCAGAAGCAACTCAGTGGCACTGAACAACAACAAAGCCAACAGGTTTGTGGAAGGGGACAGTGTCGAGTGGGAAGTCCAGTTTTGATTCTCCCTGTTGATTCTGCCCCCATTGAGTTCTTTCTGGCCATTAACTGAAAACTGTGAATTTGCCCTGAGACAGAGTGTTTTTAGTGAATTGCTACCACTCTCCTAGCCAGCCCTAGACAGCCTAGCTGGGGACTTGCTTTCATGTGCCCTTGATGGGAATTGGGGTACTGGGTTGTATAATCATGAATCTTACCCTGACTGCCTGGTCAGAGGGCCCTAAACCAGTCCTACAAACTTTTCTATCTGCAATAGCGTACTTATTCCCATCATGAGCGCCTTTCCTGCTTCTGTAGTCCCACCTGAAACTGATGAATTCATCTGCCACCAATCATGATTGGGGAAAGTTTCCTTTGTCCTCCAAATCCGATTTGAGTCGCCAAGTGTCTGTGAGTCTGTCACCACCATCCTGACCTCTTGCTGACAGTCTCCCTCATTCAGATGATTTATCTCGTTCATGTCTTTGTCCTGTTTGAGACGTACTAAGTATGTTTCTATAACATGTTTGAATCTGGAGTCTCTTTTCTTCCCTAACGGAGTCCAGCTAGGACTGCAAACAGCAAGGTCAGTAGTTCGAAACCACCAGCGCTCAGTGGGATAACAGTGAGCCTTTCTGCTTCCGTTAAGGTTTACAGGCTCATAAATCCCCAGGGGCAGTCCTACTGTGTCCAGTAGGTTTGCTATGAGCCAGAATCAACCCAATGGTTTGTTGGATGAATTTTTTTTTTTTCCGTTTTCTCCCCTGGGACACTTGTCAACACTTCAAAGAAGTCTTTTGCCCCATATTTGCTCAATGCAACATGTCTTGCTTTGGAACGATCATTAGGAGAGAACAGTTGCTCAAGGGGAACCATTTGGTCAACAAGGGCCTGGAAGAGCTTTCAGTGAAATGGTTGGCACATGGACGTGGACATGCCGGTACCTGTGAGGACGACGCCAGACCAGGCAGTGCTTCATTCTACTGTACCATGTGTTACCAAGAGGCAGCGTCAGTTCCACTGCAGCTAGAACATTCCAACACGGATTTTTTTTTAAGCATTTTATTGGAAGCTCTTACAGATCTTATAACAATCCAGCATTTATTTCTCTCAAGCACGCTTGTACATATGTTGCCATTTCTAAAACAATTGCTTTCTGCTTGAGCCCTTGATATCAGCTTCTCTCTTTCCCCCTCACTCCCCCACCCTCCCACCCTTGCAAATCCTTGATTAATTATATATTATTTTGTGTCTTACACCGTTTGTTATCTCCTTGCATTCACATTTCTATTGTTCGCCCCCCCACCCAGGGTGTGTGTGTGTGTGTGTGTGTTATCCAACCTTGTTGATCAGTTCCCCCTTTCTCCCTCTTCCCCCCTACACAGATATTTCTTGATTCATCAGGTTTGCCTATTTAATTTTGATTTCCTATTAATAGTGAGAACTCTGGTGACATAGTGTGTTATGCTGTTCACCACAAGGTCAGTGGTTCAAATCCACCAGGGGGAAGAGATGGGGATTTCTGCTCCTGTAAGGATTTACAACCTGGGGATCCCACAGTTCTGTGTCCTATGGGGTCCCTATGAGTCAGAATCCACTTGGTGGCGGTGAGTTTGGTTTCATTAGAGTAGGGAGGGAGCATTCAGGTGGGCCGGTGAGCTGAGGAGTGCAGAGACAACAGTGAGGAGTAGTGAGGAGTACTGGGCTACCCTGGAGGCCTGGCCATCATGGTGAGTGGTGGGTTGCAGATGAACAGTGATGACTCCAGCACCGCAGGTAGTGGCACTGTAAGCTAAGTACCGAATTGCTAACCACAAGGTCAGCAGTGTAAACTTACCACCTGTGCTGTGGGAGAGAGATGAAGTGATCTGCTCCTGTCAAGATGTACAGGCTCAGGAACCCTGCGTAGAGTCGCTGTGAGTCACAGTAGACGATGGCAGTGAGTTGTCAGAGTGTAACAGTGACATAACCCTCTCCCATTGTCCCTTCGCATTATCCCAATTTAGTTAGATCACAATTTTGAATTAAGTCTACAGTATAGGTTTGCATTATCATGACTATATGAACAGTGTTCACTGCTGAGTGAACTATCAAGTGAGATGCTACAGTAAATATGTTATTTTTCTCCTAAAATACACATATTCTCATATATGTGTATATATACGAGGGGTTACCCCACCCCCCAAAAAATGGAATTGCACAGGGCGGAGCAGAACTTTCATAGTATTAATTTATCCTGCTAGATGAGCATCCATCGAGCAGCTCGCTCAGAGTTAGTGCACCAAGTGGCATTACTTGGGAAGGTTCTCTCTGATAACAGTGAATAATTTCATAAAAGCAGTTTCGCCATAACCTTGTTTTTTGTGATGACCAATTTAAGAGAACAGCATGCAGTTATGAAATTTTGTTTCCTGTCTGGGAAAAATGCTGCAGAAACATGTGATGTTGACCACAGCTTTCAAGGACCACACTATGGGAAAAACGCAAGGGTCCAAGTGTTTTTCTCATTTCAAAATAAGTGCGATGTCGATTGATGACAAGCCTCATTTGGATGTCTGTCAACTTCATCTGTCTGTCAACAGATGAAAATGTTGGCTTGTAGTGCATTTGGAGTTCATTCCACCAGGTCAGACTGTTAATCAAGCTATTATTTAGAGCAGCGGTTCTGAACTTGTGGGTCATGACCCCTTTGTGGGTTGAACCACCCTTTCACCGGGGTCGCCTAAGACCATTGAAGGAACTAAGAAAACGCTCCTCTCTCCATCTCCAGGCAGGTCCACCCACATGCAGATAGACCCACATAAGAGTACCTGGCGTGGAGACTGTTACCCGTGCTACACCATGCTTCAAGACAAAATTTCATTTATGCATCATTAGAAATAAATATTTCACAATATAGAATTACATATCATTTTTGTGATTAATCACTATGCTTTCATTATGTTCAATTTGTCACAATGAAAATACATCCTGCATATCAGATATTTATATGATGATTCATAACAGTAGCAAAATTACAATTATGAAGTAGCAATGAAAATAATTTTATGGTTGGTGGGTCACCACAACATGAGGAACTGTATTAAAGGGTCACGGCATTAGGAAGGTTGAGAACCACTGATTTAGAGGTTCTGAAAAGAGCATAAAAGTGTGTGACAAAAAGACCTGATTTATGGCTCATGCAACCATCTCAGTCTACCAGTTTTTGGCAAAAAGCAGCATACCTCTCGCCCCACACACGTTACTCACCTGACCTCACTCCATGTGACATCTTTTTGTTTCCTCAAATGAAGAGGGACATGAAAGGACAGTGATTTGATGACATAGAAGAGGTGAAGGAAAAAACAAGGGAGGTGCTATCAGCCATCCAAACAGATGTGTTTGAAAAATGTTTCCAAGAATGGAATCGCGGATTTGACAACTGTATTAAGTGTAATGGAGAATACTTTGAAGGTAATAAGGTTGTTTTGTAAAACAAATTACACAGCTTTGGGAAAAAATTCTGATTTTGGGGGGGGTACCCCCGTATGTATGTGTGTATACATTGAGAAAGAGGTTGGATTTTTTGTTTACTACATTTGTAAGTGTCTTTTTCACCAGCTGCCCAGTAGCCCTAAGTTTCTCATGAAGGAACCCCCAGTTCTGTAGTCT